GCCTCCGCTTGTTCATGCATTGAAGCATCGCATCGGCACGTGGGGTGGGTCATGGGGATCATAAAATTCTTATGTCACTTTGATGGGATGTTGTGGGGTAGTTGCTCTCTTTAGCTTTATTTCTCCTTTTACTCACCAGAAAGACTAGGGAACGTCATCCCGTTCCCGGAACGGGATAACTTATCATACCAATCATTTTTTTCTTTTTTTTCCATCATATAAGACTGACCTTGCAAGCCTCCATGTCCACCAATCACCATCGCTGCTCCCAGTGGCCGACCATTTGTTGTCGCCACTATTAGCCTGTGCCACAACCCATTCTACTCGTTGCCCATGTCCACCATAGTGTCATTGTGACTAGCAGTATCCAGCACCATTGCCAGCACAAGGTTGAGTTGACGAAGACGAGCTGGTGCTTAGACGACATATATCTGGATCCGATAAAAAGATGGGAAAAGATTTGGTTGACTCGTATCTAAGTATTAGAATGGAATTAAGAGGTGGTTTCAACTTATTTCTAGCTCTATCTCCAAACCATATAACTGGATCTGATAAAAAGATGGGAAAAGATTTGGTTGACTCATATCTAAGTATTAGAATGGATTTAAGAGGTGGTTTCAATTTATTTCTATCTCTTTGGTTGGCTCTGCAGGAAGAGGAAGATGAGAGCACGAAGATGGTGAAGAAGCCGATGAAGCAGAGGAAGAAGTGGAGCAGTGGCTTGTTCTATTGATGGCTTCTTCACTACTTCATCCTCTCCAATGTCGACGTCTTGAGGGATCGAGTGAGGTGGCTTTGTCTAGATTGAGTTGGAAAAGTATTAGGCAATACTTAGTAGTATCACTTTACCAGTGTCATGTGATCATTAATAATACTTAGTAGTATCAGACGATACATGATAGCATCACGATACCTTATGGGTATCATAGCATGATACTCATCAGTATCAGGTGATACGCGATAGTATCATAGAATGATACTCCATGGTATTGGATGATACTCTATAGTAGAATGATACTAATCATAGGTATCATATTACGGTATCAATAATTGATACTTGGTAGCATCCAGGCTAGATGGAGATGGAAGTGCTCTCGACAACGTTTTTGTTCTTTCAGTTCCAACCCAAGAAGAGCAAGGTGGAGAGTGGAATTGTCGTGACGGCAGCAGCAGGAACATGTCCCCTTGCGCAATGCATCTATCAGTGATGGCTGTTGATGTGTTAGACGACGGGAATATGAGAGCACATCGCGGCAATGGCGATGACGTGAGACAACGCTCTAGCAACGAGTTATCGCACGTGGAGGCACTCGATACCGAGACAGAGAAATGTAGCGACGCGGTGCTCCGATGAGGTTTCATGGAGATGGATGAGACAACACTCAAATGAGGTACCATGCATGGCCAAGGTGAAATCACAGTGATGTAGCATGGGCACACAGAAGCGGAGCCATGAGGACACATGCACATGCACGGAGGCGTGCAGACGCTGAGCGAGGTGGAAGCGCATGACAAAACCATACCATTACCTGGACAGGATCCCATCGTCTAGCTATCCTCTTCATTCGGAAATAGAAACATGAGACGGTTGTAGTAGCCAACAATCGCATCCCACACAATCGGTCGTGGCACGTGAGAAATAGTGTGACGATACAACAAACTTGCTGACGTGGACTTGCATGCCTTAGGAAAACAAGATTAATTGGCCAATCGGCCAATCTCCAACTCTGAACAAAACAAACTACTAGTGACAAACAACTGTGATATGCTATTGTAGCTATGAATTGAGAAAAAAGAACAATGCAGATTTAGTCTTCAGCATTGACAACAAAAAATTGGATTGATCACATATAAAACGATGGTACTAACATTTATGTCTCACGACAATAAAAGAAGAACGAGGGTTAACACCTACACACAACGACACCACCATATCTTTTCCCTATTTAACTTGTAGTGCATTTGCTACTTGTAATCTTGCATACTCCTATATGGTAATATGTCCTTCAGCTCTAGGAGCACCAGACCACTTAGTGTATTGTCTCCTGCTAAGTGATAACCACTGTCTTTACATTGGATCCGTAATGCAACACTACTACATAAAATGATATAACCGCTACTGTTAGTTTTTTATATGGCAGTGGGTCCACAACAGTTCAATTTGAGAACTAGCATGTTGTATCACTGCTACTTAACGTCTTGAGCCAGCAATGATATTGGTTTCAATGAAAAAAATATTACGCGGTCCAGACAAATAGGTTGGATGGTCTAGACAATTTATGAGCAAGGCTTCTCTATAAAAGAGTCAATCTTCTTAAGGTTTCCATAATTAGTTTTCATTCTAAAATCCAACAAACATATGCGGGGAGCAAATGCATGATGGATATATCATGCACTATACCTCCTGATGATATAAGATATTTTTATCTACATGAAAAGACACATTTGCAAAATACGAAACAAAGCCCCTGATTTACGTGGGGTATCCACAAAGTTCTTTATTGTTTAGTAAAGACATGGTGTAGCAAGCGGGTTGGAATGCATACTTACTTCATTGGTTGGATCACTTGCATGAAATTCATAGTATTTGCACCCATAAGTTTGGCATCATCTTGAGATTAAGCAATTTCATTTTTTCCCTAAAGATTACATTATTTCTTATATTTAATTAGTTTTCATAATAAGAGCGGAAGCAAAAATACTCTTTATGGTTAATTCTAATTACTATGATAATTAAAAATATAATACATGGTAGAAAATAAAAATGACAATTATTGATGGCAGCAACATTTAGTATTGTACCAATATCATTGAAGCATTGAAACACTTATTTCAGCCTAGCGCTAGTTGCAACCTTGCAACACTTATTTCAGCTTGTACCAATGCATAATCTTGTATTGCTACCCTTCCATCATCAGCATAGACAAGATGTACTAAATGCATTGCTGTAGACTCTGGCCACACTTATTTAGACTTCTAACAATGCATAAATGCGTTGCTAAAGGGGTATTCGGTTTCCCCTTGTAGTGTGTTGAGAGTAAACTCTCAGCATCGACATTTTATACAACGTTTTGTTTCCTCCAAACAAAAGATATTACAAGATTTTTTTTCTAATACTATCATTGTTCTCATATCCAAAAAATTGTGATTTTTCCATGAGATGCATAAGTAGAGGGCACTGTGTACATATGTAGGGAAAAAAATCTTGTGATATTTTCCATGACATATAGAAGTATAGCCACCGTGTTATGCCCCAAGTAGCTAAAAGGAGCTCTTCTGTGTGAACCCAAAGCCATCTGCCGTTGTTGCGCTCTAGCCATCGCTCGTTGTCAACTTGATTTTCGCTGGACCTCGCTCTCTCCTCCCTCAACACCGCACGGATGCCAGAAAAGCCTGGCAACCACCTCGCCTTCGCCGCAAGCTGTTGGAACATTGTCGTCACCATCAACCCAAAGCTCTCTACCGCAAGAAGTTCACTGCTGGTCTCCTCCCTTCACCACCCATGTTGGTGAGCATGCCAATGCTCTCCTCTATCTGCTAATGTCCTCGCCTTCCGTCATCGCATTGCCGTCCGTCAGAGCCACGGATTCCCGTGCTCGCCGGCCATCGATCCGACGTGGCCGGCTCGTCGTCGTAATTTTAGCCGCCACCTCATCCTCCATGTTTCCCTCCTTCCCATGTCATCAATCTGACCAAACTCGTGTAGGCCTCGTTTTATAGTGGGATTTAGGCTAGTCGACCAATGGCTTACGAGAATGATTTTATAATTAACAAGTGATTAATTATGTCAACGTTTTAGGTCACGACTACGGTATTTGCATGGTATGGAGATCGTTGGTACTAGGGTATATGCGAGATTGAAGTAAAAGAGACAGATACAAGGAGTTTTATACATGTTCGGTACATGTTCGGGCCCCTTATCTGACATGTAATAGCCCTACTCCTGTTGGGCGTAGCCGGTGTTGTTCTATATTAATCAGAATCACCCAAGTACAATATTTGGGATAACCTATCTAGCTGTCATCGACTTAGTAACAGATAACCAACACGTTGTCTCCTCAAGTACGAACTTGTCGAGATCAAAGATGGCGCTAGATCCCTCTTATCGGCCTCTGCAGGCACCAGATTGGGTCTATCTAGACTTATCTCTGATGTCGATGTTTGGCTTGTCTTAGCTTGTGTGTCTCGTGTCCCCTCTCCTCCTAGGGATCTTGTATTTATACCCACAGATGTCCCCCTTTTCCAAGTAGAACTAGAGAGACAAGTATGGATACGATCCGAATAGTCCTCGACGTTTCCATATAGAACTCTACTCGTCATTTCTTAATCGGAACTCCTTCTATATACGATGTATGATTCCTTATAAGACTTGGTATACAGTGGACCCTGCCGAGCTTAGTCAATTAATATTGTGTATGTGGTATCTATAACCATGACAAATTATATATTAACTATTATAAACTATTTTTTGGAATTTTTAAATACTTTTTATATAACATTTTGTAAAAAAAAGTCACACCATTGAGTGGTTTGAAAAATTTTATAATCTAAAAAAAGGCCTTAGGCTGCGTTCGTTTCTAGGGGTTCCCAACTCTTCCTCTCGTTTTCTGTGCACACGCTTTTCAAACGGTTAAACGGTGTATTTTTTTTACAAAAAGTTTATATATGAAAGTTGCTTAAAAAATCATATTGATCTTTTTTTAAAAAAAATAGCTAATACTTAATTAATCAAGCATTAATTGACCGTTTCGTTTTCGGTCCAGCAGGGATTAGTTAAACGAACACAGCCTTGAAACCTTTCGGACCGAAGTAAAGCATCAACACATCACCACATCAGTAAGCGAGCCACGGCCGTTGGATGCGAATCCGAGAGCCATGACCATGAGCAGCTGATCCCTTCCCTCCCAATCCAACGTTGCTGCACGCACGCGCACACACACCCGGGCCCCATCCCAAACTAACCAAAAAGACCAAACAGCAAAAAAAAAAAAAAAGAAACAAAAAAGAACAAAAAAAACGACGCCACAGTCCATTCTTCTTCTGCCCCCCTCCACGCGAGATCTGCCACGCTCGCTCTCACCCGCCCACGGATCCGATCCGCCTCCACTCCCTCCCCCACCGGCGGGCGGCCGCCCGAGCGGCGCGGTGCTCCTCCTCCCTCCTCGTCGTCGTCGTCGGCGCCGGCGATGGTCGTCTGCAAATGCCGCAAGGTAACCGCACCCCCTCACCTCATCCCTTGGCTTTGGTGTTCGGTTTCGGCGCGGAGGCGGAGGCGGAAGCGGAGGAGGGTTCGGGATCTGGGGGGGACGACGTGGCGCCGGATCCGGTGGGTGGTGGTGGTGGTTCGCGCGGGGGTTTGGAGGGGATTTTGGTCTCGGGGGTTGTATGGTTTACTCGATTTGTTCATAGTTGTTAGGGAACGGGCGTTTGATGTGCGAGCATTTAGCCGAGCACCTCGTGAGCTACTGTATACGTGAGCGCGATATGCTTGGTAGTCTGCTGGTGTTTAGAGATTTGTGGAGTTCTTGCTCCGAATCGTGAGTGTGCCAGCTGAATTTCATGCTTATGGCTGTCTTTGTTTGCTTTGCAGGCGACAAGGGTTTATTGCTTCGTGCACAAGGTTCCTGTCTGCGGCGAATGCATCTGCTTCCCGGAGCATCAGTTATGCGTGGTGAGCCTCTCGGCCTGTTGCATATCCTTGAATTCTGAATAAGTTAAGCTATCATGAGACTATCACAATGTTTGTGTATTGTTTTTCATGGTTGTCTTTCACAGTTTCAGCTGCCTTGTCAGGTAATTGGGGAATGTTGGTTAATGATATATTGAGCTTGATGACCTTTAATCTTGAAAATAGAGTAAATTTCACAAACCTACAGTGATGTAATCAAAATATTCACAAAAGCACACTTTTAATCATATATATCAACAAACCACACTTGCTTGTGCATAACGTTTGACAAAACTGCATAGTATGGTGGCGTAGTTTTGTGAATTTTGTTCAATAGAATATATTGCGTCATGTATGCTTTAAAATGTGTGCAATGAAACATCTGTTCTGTATCTAGATATTCCCTTACAGATATGGTTTGACTTATCATTTTCAGTTTCGTATGATATGGATGAAATGTGAACATGCAACAAAGGGATAGTGATGAGTTCTTGATATGTCTAGTACCTCAACTGGAAAATTAGCGCTGAGACATAATAGCATCAGCACCTTTTGGGTGACTTCTGCATGTCTTACCTCCTAATTTCTCCATAAAGCATTCATTTTTCTTTACTACTCATTTCCATTGGCACCTGCTTGTTTTTGGGTAAAAAAAATTGATTGCCACAGGACATATTTGGAGAGGTTAGGCTAGAGGTTTTTGCAATACAAGCAGTTCATAGGAATCTTCTTATGTTTCCTGTGTTTCAAATGGCCATCATCTTGGGTAATGCCTATTGGTCAACTAAGGGGATTAGCATGGCACAAGCTTTTTTACTTGTACTGCAGTTTCGTTTAATGTGTTTGTTTTTCTGTTTGTTTTACTTTCCGTCCATAGAGTCTAGGTTTTTGTGCAACTTCTTTATACATGTTACATGCAATTTATAATCTTTACAAGTTAGTACTGAACACAAGTTATTTTACTTTAGTTTTAGAAACTAACATCTTCTCACTCTTTCTTGTTTAGGTTAAAAATTATGCTGAATGGGTTGTTAATCCTGATTATGACTGGCCACAACACTGTTCATCTTGCAATTCTGTTCTGGAAGCTGGAAGCGAAGAAACTACACGATTGGGTTGCTTGCGTACGTGAAAATTCCCATTTTTTTAGTTCACTCGTTTCGTAGAGTCATCTTTGTTAAGTACTTAAGGGTAACAAGGTATTTCTTCTCCATCCATTTTAGATGTGATGCACACAAGATGTTTGATCTCACACATACAAAGTTATTCAACCCAAACTGCACCAGCTGGATATGTTTGTCCTTCATGTTCTACACCTGTAAGTTTGTTTCAACCTGCCTGGATTGCTTCCCCCAACTCTTGACCCCCAAAGGGAGTGCATGCATGAGATTGCTGTGGTTGGGTGGCTGGCTTGGCATGTTATAGCTAAGGATTTGACAGTTCAGTGACCTTGAGCTATTATTTCCCTTGCAGATATGGCCTCCTTCAACTATTAAAGATACTGGCTCGCGCCTTCACTCTAAACTAAAGGAAGCAATAGCCCAGGTTAGATCATTCAAATCTATTCTTGCGTGCAAAATCCAAATCATTGGTTTTACTTCTTTCCTGTAATAATGCCCATTGGCTATGTTCTACTTGTGTGACTAAACTCATGACCTCTTTGAGTTAATTGTTACCAGTCTTTTGACCTAGCATAATTACTTCAATTGGCTAGTTCTTCACAGTTTTCAATATTATTTTTGGTGATCAACACTAATGCAAGACAATATACTTGTGTGACATGAAATTGAACATGCAGATCTCAATTAATGTCAAGGTATATTAGTTGTCTTGTGCCTTGACAACTAAGGTTTTAATCCATCAATAACTTTTGAGAAGATTGTTCTGATTTCCCAGTATACTATTGTGTATATTTACCATAAGAAATAATTGTCTCGTAGCAGAGTTTGATAAAGTCTGCACTTTTCCAATGTACTGCAGACTGGATTGGAGAAGAACGTATTTGGAAATCATTTTGTGACAATGCCTAAAGCTGATACTCGCACCCCTCCTGCTTTTGCTTCAGATCCTCTTAAACGTGTATCCATTTCTGGTGATAGAGAATCAAATGGTGCAAACATAATCAATTCTGCTATAGATGCAAATGTGCAATCTGGTGGAATGTATTCTTCTGCTACTGTGGGATCTGGGACACCTAGTCACGTTGAACCAGAAATAGTTGAAATAGATGGTCCAAGTCCAATAACAACTCAGTTCCCTGAACAGGAGTCCAACTTCATCAGAAGTCCTAGCCCACATGGGGTAAGTCATGTAGCTTTGTGTTTGTGGTTATTGTCCACCTACTTTTGAAATTCTGTTTGTGCTTAGCTAGCCATAGTGATCGTATCCCTTTATTTTGCAGCCGAGTGCCATGACAAGAAAAGGTGCTAACTATGTTGAGAGACAAAATTCAGAGATTTCTTATTATGCTGATGATGAGGACGCAAACCGCAAGAAGTATACCAAAAGGGGTAAGCATGCAATTTTCAGGATATATTATACTTACATCTTTGTCCTGTTTCATCGTGTAGACACTTAGTTTCTTGAAATACTTTAGCATTATAAAAAAAAGATCTATATAAAAATTTTACTAGTAGAGCTCCTGCTGTTCCACATTTTAATTACCATCCTACAGTCATAATGTTACTTGCCCTGGAAATAATCATAATTATTTTGTTTGCAGCTTCATATGCTTAGTTGCTGTCTTATATCACTTGGCTTTCATTTTCTAAGCATGAATGCCTTTCAGTACGCTTGACCCAGAAAACAAACAACTTAATTGCATTGACCAAGTCATTGTCCATAGTTCTGTGGTCCATACAAACATGCAATAATGGTAGTCCTGGGAAGTTGCAGGCGCATATTTCTTATTTCTGATTCTTGAGTCCTGGTCAGGCTAGGCTAAGCTTGGTTGGTTTCAAACAGATCCACCAGGTCGGACATACTTTAACCTTGTGCTGCATCACGCAATTCACTTGCCCCATAGTGCTTGGAACAGTTGGTTTAGTGAATCGTAAGATACTGGGTTTAGTGAATCATATGAAGCAGGGAATTCAGATGCCATTGATGATCAAATCTTCTCTTATCTTCCTGGTTCCATGATTTCCAATTTGTGTTAAAATTTTGCATGTAAAATGTATATATATAAATGCTTGAAATATTAGAATAGTGGTCCAGGAAATATCTGATATATATGTATCTCACTTTGAGCTGAAAAATTACATCAAAGCATGGTATACCATTTGTTGTGCTTACATGGCTTCCAACTACAGGTACATTCCGTCACAAATTTCTAAGGATGCTGCTACCTTTCTGGTCCAGTGCATTGCCAACACTGCCAGTTACAGCACCTCCTAGAAAAGAGAGTGATGCTCCAGAGGGCCGTTCACGACATCAAAAATCATCAAGAATGGATCCTACAAAGATCTTACTTGCATTGGCGATCATGTAAGCTTTCTGACATTCTTGTAGAATTAGCATGCTATTTAGAAGTAGCGCGAGCCTTGAGTGGTCCAGAAATTCTGACAGTGGCCTTAGATGTATTAGTGAATTAGTTGGTTGAATGGTACTTGCTTATTCTTCCCAAATATTGAGTCAGAGCAATCCTGAGCCCAATGATATTTGTATATTGATCTTTATGCCGCTACATGCTTCTGTCTCAGTCAATAACAGAGCTTTGATAAACTAGCCTGTTCCAAGCAGGGATTACCATTTAGCCAAATAGAGATGCTAGGAAGTATTTTTTTTCTATACACTTTAAGGTCACAAACATAGAACTCTCTGAATTTCTGTTAGAAGAAATCTGCCAGTGGTTTGTAATTGCAGAGAAGCTTCTGTGGCATTTGATATGATGATGGCTTTCGAGAGAGATGCTACCATTGCCAGTGTTCCTTTTTCCGTAGAATGCTGCGCCTTTTGTGTTTACTATAAGGGGTAGTATATAATTTCTTGTTGGAAATGTGATTTTTTTAGTACAACTAAAATTAAGTACATACAATATTGTTCTCACATCATAACCAACATTTATATTCTTTTAAGAAACAATATGCTGAGCCCTGTGAAGCTAACTGTGGTTTTGATGAAATTACCCTTTTTATGCTTAATTGTCATGCAAAGTTCTTACTTTATGTTTTGAGCTATCCTTTGAAATTAATTTGACTTGCTTACATTTTCACATGTTTTGTATTTTGTTTCTGTAATTGGTTGGCCTTCTTTAAGTTGAATTTCTTACTGTGGGTTAATAACGTAAGCTAATGTACTGAAGTTCCATGTTATTTCAGGGCATGTATAGCAACAATGGGGATACTTTATTACCGTTTGACACAACGCAGTCTTTCCGAGAACTTTATTGAGGATGAACCTCAATAGTACCCTGAGGTTGTCAATCTTGCAGTTCATTCCTGGTGCTATGCTGCTGATTCCAAGGGTTTTATACCCTCCTTGTATTTCTTTTCTTCTCCCTTTTTGTGGGGCTTTCTTGGTGGCTGAGATGGGTAGTTAGATACTACATAAGAATTATAGTAGACTGCTTCCATATGATGATTGATGTGCATGTTTATGTAACTATAATGCTATAAAATATCCTCTTTGTTATTTACACCTGATGAGAAATCATAGAAATTGCCACCATTTGTTTATCTACCTCAGGATATTATGTATTTCTGGCTGCTTTTTTATGGTGCCTTCAAAACTGTTAGAGATGCTAATTTAATGGTGATTACCACTTTACCATAATGGAGTCAAATAGGTTTATCATTCATATTGTCAAAACTTTTATATTTATAACAGCTGTTTAGTTTGTGAGCAAATCACCTATAACATTTAATTTGCCCAGACATTTTTTTTAATATTTTTCAGTAGCCAAAATTATCTTCCATTGCGTAATTATCTTTGCACAGTCAACAATTGAAATTGCGATGTATGTTAAGGTTGAATGCAGTAAGTCCATTCAGTACTGGGCAAAGATATCCGATAATGGCATTGCATTCTTGTAGGCGTTTATCTACTCTATTTGTTTTCTTAAAGGCGCTGGTGATTTCGGTGAATCTGTCATTCTATCACATTAGCACTTCATTTACTAGAATTTATTTTTAAAAAAAACTGCATGAAAGCTGGCAGACGTTGCGGTACGTCGATATGGGAACAGGTATTACCGAAAAAACTCAAAAAAGAAAAAAAAAGAAAGAAAGGCGGACACCGTCAAAGATCTACACTGAAATAACATAAGATTGATTTTCCAATGCTCTTGTAGATTGCATTATTGATCTGTTAGTAGTATCAGACATCACTGGCCCATCAAAGTGCCAAACAATGCCTACAGCTAATGCCATTGGCCTTTTCGGCAAATCATCGGACATGGTTGCTGCAGCACCCTGGACCGTCGACCATAGCCCCTATACTCGTTACCTCGTAGTGTTGTTTGAGAGCAGCTTAAGCGAAGAGAAACGCAAGCAACAACAAATAATAGTGGCATTTTAGCAAAATCAGGACAAATTATGAATGCATGAATTTATCGTGTTAGCTCACATGAAAATGAAAACGTATGTACTTTGCCCCCATATATCTATTAAGAGAGGAAAAGAAATGTATTGGTGAAAATACAAGTAAGAAGGTAATTTGCTTACCTCTTGTTGCCCATACATACATTGCTACATAATGGCCTATAGCTGCTAGTTCATAACCTACATCACTAACCAGCATTGCATGCCTAGGTGTGTTGCTCCAGGACAATATCGCTGGTTTTGGAACGAGTTCATGAGGCATACCAGCAGCGATACATGGGACAATGCTGCTAACTGGGCACTTGAACAGGCAGTCATACCGTACTGCCGGATCACCCTATGTCACTAAGTTCCCCGAACAATAGGATCCAGGAATAAACTGGAGGAAATTGAATGCCACTTTCTAACAACATGGTAAGAAGGCGGTATACAACTTTAGATTGTTTGTTCAAGGAATGGAACATGTTCCATGAATTTTTGGTAAGACAGTCTAGCACACCGAATCCAAGTCGATGAATGCGTTCCCAGGATTTTATTTTATCAAACATTGGAATATTGAACCCGAGTTGAGGAACTCATTCCCACAATTATTGGAGCATCCCATTTAACACAGTTCATAGGAAAATACAACATAAGTTCTTAGAATTTTGGATTATTGTCTAATGAATAAATTACTACAATGAAAATTTACTACTGCATAGAAAAAAGGGTATACTCTAGTAACACGAAAAATCAACCAAAAGATTCATACGAAGTCATGAAAGGTACTCCCTCCGTTTCAGGTTACAAGACGTTTTGAATTTAGTAAAAGTCAAACTACTTTGAATTTGACTAAGTTTGCACAAATATAGTAATATTTATAATACCAAATTAGTTTCATTAAATCAATAATTGAATATATTTTCATAATAAATTTGTGTTGAGTTGAAAATATTATTATTTTTCTACAAACTTGATTAAACTTGAAGCAGTTTGACTTTGACTAAAGTCAAAACATCTTATAACTTGAAACGGAGGGAGAAGTTGGTAGCAAAGCCTCATGATTGACTTCTGTCATATGTGATAGTACTCCTCTGATCAAAGTAACAATTTATATGCACATTATCATTAAGTATGAAATAAAAAACAGAGAATTTTCAGTTGTGCAATTCTCACCATGGAATGTGGAGTTATCGGGATCTATATCTCATTCGGCATTGGACCCTTGTTTTTAGATTTTGGTAGGCCCTTTTCAATTTAGGAGATGAAAGTTGCATCTATTCAAGAGTCTATTGACATGTATGTATTGACTTTAAATTATTGACATGTATGTATTGACTTTAAATTATCTTTATACCACATTAAAAACTCATCAAATGAATATTTTGTTTCCTGTAAGACTGATTCGAAATCTACTGCTTTGGTTTCTTCTTCAAGCACTTCCACTGATGCTTCTTCTTCACCGGTTTTTACAAGTTCGAGTCGCACATTAGATGACCAACTCGAGCAACTCGTTGAGGAGAACTTGGTTTTGATTACAAACATGTTTATCGAGCTTTGGATAATTTGAAGAACATGAAATGAGTTGGCCTAGTTCGATGCTTTGAGTGTGGTGAGTTGAACCACATTAATGTCGATAAGAAGGACAGTAAGAAAGAGAAGAAGAGTCGCAAGTAAAACTTGATCCGATAGCTGCTATAAGCTCTTAAAAGCTAGCAATGATGAATCCGAGACTAACGAAGGGAGTATTGGAAAAGGTAAGCACTTTGACATGTTGCTAGGCAATGAACTTGTGTGATGCAATAAAACTATTTCAGATAGCATCGTAGCAATAGTGCATTTCTTTTTCTTATTGCAAATACATTACAGATGCATATACTTACATGTGTAACTGCATGCGTACTCACTATTAAAAAGGCGCGCACACCCTGTGGACTTATAGTCTTATGATTGTGATAAATCGAAACATATAAACACACACCTATCTCTATGAATAAATGTGCGTACTACCTTATTTGTTGATAGAGATCTTTTTGGCATAACAGCCTAATCAATTAATGTTTAGGAAAGATATATGAAATTCACACAGATACATTTTGTCTCGAAGAAAACATACATGTGATTCATTAGTTTATCTAGTTTATTCGAAAACTATTAACGGTGGAAAATTATATTTTTAGGTACATGCCTCCTGAGACTTGGAGGTAAGAATTAATTTCGCAGGAGAGGAGATTCTCTTCATGGCCTTCCGTCCTAGAAATCTTCCGGTGGTGGGGGGAGAGATGTATCCACTGTTGGCCCATCCTCTACAATGAACACTGCAGCCATGCCCATCGACAAATGGAATTCGAAGTGGCAATGCATTAACCATGCCCCTGTGTGACGAACAAAGCAAACCATGCATTATATATATATATATATACTTGGAGTCCAAGACATATAGGAGTTCAACTAAGACAAATTTTTTGGTGTATATGTAAAGAAAAGTACCGATTAAATTATGACTTTTTAGTTGTATGTTAACATCAAGAAATAGTTTTATTTCAAACAATGGTGGGTATTTATAGTATGATATATACACTTTAGTCAAAATACATGAGTACATGATATCATATAAAAAAATACTTATATAGACAATATATGGTACGCACACGTTACTAGATTAAACATTAAAAGTAATTAGTATGTTTCTTTAGTTAAAACATTATATTTTTATGTGATCAATATATAGTTGGTCAAAGTATCATTTTGTTGACTATGTGGATGTCCTAATAAATGACATATATTTTGAATCAGACATAGTGGATAATAAGATTGCTCCATCTTTACATTTCCGTATTTTAGCGAATTAATACCTGAAAATAATTTGCAGCTTTCATGATACATAATCGCTCTGTCCCAAAATAACTTCTTCTTTCGTAAACTTATTTGACCCAAATAATTTAATATTTGAAGCAAGCATTGTATTGGAGTTTATAAAAATAGAGGACACATGTATTGAGGCTTGTGAGATTAAGGGACAAATGTATTGCGGTTTGTAAGTAGTAAGAACTGTATTGGAGTTTGTTAAAGTGAAGGATATTCTAATTAATCTTTTTGTCTTTTATACTCCCTTTGCGCCCACTTAGGAAGGCATGGTCGATCTTGGCATAGTCTTTAAAACTAATTTTTTTTACTTTGATTTTCTCAAAATATATTATGTTTGCAGCAACAAAATCACAATTATATAAAATTAAATTTAAATATCAATCCAATGATATTATTTTTGTCAAATAAAACTTAATTTACAATAAAATATTTAGAAAGTTAAATTTTGAAATGTGTGTGTACGTGCCTAGCTTATTGAGCGGGATGGAGGAAGAAGTATTGGTTTGTGTTTGTGTGAGATGGGTAAAAAATGAGGTTATTTTGGAACCGATCGATACTAAGTATATAAAGCGTGCGCACAAGAAAATCCAATACTCCTATATGCACCTGGGTTGTCGGCGACAAATCGGACGGCTGCCCAGCCAAGATTGGGGACGAGCACGGTGTTCTTCCTCGGCGGGTTCACCAGGTTGAACTTGCCCTCATCCCTGGCCGCGTCGTAGATGCCGATGCCCTGCGCCAGCAAGAACACGTCGTGGCCGTGCAGGTGCATCGGGTTCGAGTCCCCCTGCAGCATCGCCGTGCTCTGGAACACCACGTCCACCGTCGCGCCGTGCCTGAACCGCCGCGTCACCACCGCCCTCGACGTCGCCTCCAGCCGCATCTCCTCCGGCCCGAACGGCGTCAGCGCCTGGTCCGTGTAGTTGTACGCCCTCGGCGGCCGCTCGGCGAGCTCCTCCTCCTCCTCGCCGGCGCCGGCGTGGAGGCGGTGGTAGTAGTGCGCCTCCAGGATCGGCGTCGCCGCCGCGGCGGGGATGTGGAACGAGACGTTGTTCACGTTCGCCACCACGATGGACTCCTTCAGGTTGCCCCCTCTCTTGCAGGACGCGCCGCCGTGGCGGCAGACGGAGCCGAGGCCGAGCGTGACGAACAGGCTCTCGTCGGCGCGCGCCGGGACACGCCGCCGGCCGTGGCGGTGGAGGCGCGCGCCGGCCGTCAGGTTGCCGCGGAAGTAGAACGATCTCATCGTGTCGTGCTGGTGCGGCATCTCCGGCATGGCAGCGGCTGACGAGTTCCTGCTGTTGCTGCTGTACTGCAGCGTGCCTCTGGTGGCGTACTCCGGCGTCTGCGTGTCGGGCGGCGGCGCCTGGATGGGCTGGGCGGCGATGTAGTACCTGCCGGACGGGGGCGCGTCGGCGACGACAATGGCGTCGAGCGTCTCGCCGGGCGCGATGACGACGACGTCGGTGCTGTAGGGAGTGAGGTAGTTGGCGTCGGAGGCGACCACCGTGAACCTGTGGCCGGCGATCTTGAGGAAGTACTCAGAGAAGAGCGCCGCGTTGATTATTCGCAGCAGGTACGTCTTGCCAGGTTCTACGTCCAGCACGTACCCATCTTCCAACACGCCTTCAATATTACATTATTCAGCACCACTCAATGCGCGAATATAGAATAAAAATTAATTATATGCATAAATAACACATGTAGTATAATATATATTGAGACTAATTGTTATTTAGAGGTAATTTGCAGAATTGCAGTGATGTACAAGCATAAGACCCTGTGTCCTATGCAAAACGAAAAGCCGTGGCTTCACCCCTGGAACCACTCTATTCAGGCTTAGTTCGGTTAATCTTAAGTAGGAGGATTGAAATGAATTGATTGAGGATATGATTCCACATCACAATAGGTGTGAAAATAAATGTTTTTAAAATCCTTCTCAATCCCCTTAGAAGGGATTAACCCAAGAAGATCGACCTCATTAAAGTAGAACAAAATAATCGTTTTCTATATGCAATGATGTATCTGTAGGTATGTTATACTCCATTTGTTCCATAAGAAAATATGTTTTAGAAAATGACAAGGTGTTGCCCAAGAAGAATTATATTTTTTGACATAAAATATTTATCAAAAATTTATTTTATGACAGATTTGTTCGTACCATTTTCAAATATCCTGACCCAATAATACAGATAGGAACAACCACTCCATTCCATAAAATAGCAAGAATCCTTTTGGATATGCATGGATGCGCGCGCGCACACACACTCGCCTTGTTCCACGAAGACTTCATTTTTTACATTAATCTTGATAATGATGTTTTAGACAACAATATCGTATTTGAAACATATAACTCAATAATACTACGGAGTATATCTGAAGACAAATTTGTTCCTATCGTTTTCAAATAGTTGACTTAAAACACAGGATGAGGGAGGATGTATGAGAGCAAGAACTGATCATTACCGGAGCAATTGAAGAGATCTCCAAGCTTGCCATTAATTGTTGACCCACTGGAGTAATCATCAAAGTAACCGTTGGTCATGTTCCTGTCCACCTGTGGAAGATCCTTCTCCCACCACTCCCCTGGCATGGACGAACAAAAGCGGTTCATCATAAGCTCACATAATCTTTTGTTCTGTACTATCTTAGTCCTAAAATACATATGATATTTTGTCTATATAAATCTTTTATATTTTGAGACAAAAATAGTATGCGCGCATATCTTTTTAAGTAACATGCAAAATTCATATCGGATCTATAAATCAAATATATAAATATTCGCGAACCTATGATGATGGGGACCTCCCTGTGAGGCCTGGGGAAGGGATAGGAGGCGGCGCCGTGCCTAGGGCGTATGATGAGAGCACCGTGTACGGTTCCCCGGAGAAAGGCGTCGTGCGCGTGCCACCACAGGGTACCTTCCTGCCCGGCGACGTTGAACCGGTAGGTGAAGTTGTGGTTGGGCTGGATGGGGCGCTGGGTGATCATCGGCACCCCGTCGTTCCAACAGTTCAGCAACTGGTACACTCCATGCCTGTGATGATCGATGCATCGAAGTTAAGACACACAGGAAATATTATGATCATGGAGCAAAAATGTAACTGCAGGAATGAACAGGCATACATTAAGCCAATCAAGAGGCATGATGATCTATTTTCTCGCTGCTTAATTTTTCCTGAGATTCTCAGAAATTTTCACATAGATCATTAAAAATTTCTATACACTGGTTGTCTTAAAGAACCATCATGGTCAATGTGTTCGTGAAAGCAATGCAAAGTAAAGGGTATTTCCTCTTATCTAGCTTGTATATTAGAACACAGAAAGACAGGTACCAAATGTAGCACTTTGAATATATATCTAAAAAGTATATTATTTGTTGTCACGGTCAATAATAATATTATGTTTAGCACAAATCTAAATGGACTTACTTTAAGGATCAAAAGTAGTAGATGCCTACTTCCTAATATGACAAATATAATATAAATCCATTGGGACATCAAAACTATCTTCAATATTATTTATAGCCATGCATATTCTTCACGAGGAATATAGTAGTATCAATCTTGTGTTGTCAATATGTATGAAATTTTCGATAATGATAGTTAAAATAAAAGAAGTTTGGCTTATAACAAAGTTAGATATAGTTATATTAAAAGAATTATTATAGTATACACGGAATAGCACGCACCTTTTGCATGGTATAAGAAAACGAGGGCAACTACCCAACACCAATGGAATACTTTTTGTGTGGACGTCAGTATGGCGTTAGTATAATGTCATAGATATCAAATCTGGTATATGTGGTACTAGACATAATACCCACCACAAGTATCAGGTTATGATACCTATGTACCATGATGGCATTAGCATGATGTCGTAGGTACCAAATCTGGTATATGTGGTACCAAACATAATACGACACACAGGTACCAGGCTATGATACTTTTTTTTTGTCCATATTCGTAGTAATAGGATATGTCCCATCCAACCAAAATTTATTATATTTTAGAACGGAGGGAATATCTACGTAACATGTTGATATTAGTACGGTAAACATGATAGTACCCATTAGTAGTATCAAGATATGGTACATAGATATGTACCACACCACACAGAAGTTATCGTTGATGTATCAATATATTTCGTAGTATTTCTTTAAGAAAAAAGAATGATTGAACAAAATTCATAAAATATAAGCTGGTATAGGGAGCAGTTGATCTGTTACCAATGGATTGTTAAGTTGTATGGCGACTTGTTGACAACGTGCACGGTCACGGAGTCTCCCTCGGTGACCTCTATCGTCGGCCCCGGGAGCTGCCCGTTCACCACCGTGAACGCCATCTCCTTGCACAAGTGCGTCATATTCACCTGGCTCACCTGCATCCCCAACAATTCCACGATTAATCTGTACGTACAATTAACACTTTCAACACCAAATTAATATTACTACGAGCTAGCTAGCAAGATCGTGATCGAAATGGTCCTCATGCTTATACCACGAACGTGTGCTCGACGGCCGCCGCCGCGGCCGCCGACGGGATGGCCGTGCCGGAGACGAGGACGATGATCATGGAGACAGCTGCAACGACGGCAGCTACTGCCGCCGTCGGCCGGGAGCTCTGGCAGCGCTTCATTGTTTACTATTCAATTTGCTCTGCAGTCTACAACTACATGTAGCGTGTATACAAATGGAAGGATGTATGTTTGATCGAGCCGAAGAATATATGTAGCAGGGCACACATGGTAGCCTACGTCAGCTCAGGAAGAAGCGTGATGTAGGAACAAAATATATACTAGATCCCAACAATTAAGCATGGTCGGCCGGTCAAATTAAACTTGTACTTATCTGCGTAATCACATTTGATTTTTTTTTTAGGGTCAGCTTATTAACGTGTCTTTATCATCGTTCTACCTAACACTTAATTTGCTGTGTGTGTGCAGTGTGCGCCACCAATCACTGCCTTATTCCAAAGATTATCCTACCGTGTAATCGTAAAATCTGACTAGTGCGTGCTATCGTGAGACAGGAAGACATGCATGTGAGAAGAATTAAGCGCGGGCGCTACCATGCAAATTAATCACGCCAAAACGCATTAGACCATCTCCACGATTAGTTGGCTAGCTGGTTTCCTCTTGCATACCGTTCCTTGCATGCATGTGTAGATGATGGAAAAATATGTAGCGTAAACTTCATATATATAATGTACTATCTTCAAATATAAAAATGGATAAATATAAAAATGGATGTATGAGATTTATCCATAATTCTATTATTACTCCTACATTTATGTGATTAATCTTTCTACTCGGAGGGAGGAGAAATCTTAAACATCTATTTAAAATCCAACGGTACTTTTCATGTTTGTGCTACATATAAACTATGGAGATTGCACCATATGTTTTCTATTAGATGATGCTTGCACTTTTTTTTTCAACTCCATTTAAATAGTAACTTTAAGGATGTGTTTAACTGGAGCGAAAAGGAGAAAATAGAGAATACATGTAAAACATGATGAGTCATTAGTACATAATTAATTGAGTATTACTTATTTTAAACTTGAAAATGGATTAATATGATTTTAAAAGCAAATTTTCTATAGATTTTTTTTAAAAAAAACTCACCTTTTAGCAGTTCGGGAAAGTGCATGTGAAAAATGATATAATGTTTTTATGTAAACAATACAAGTATTTTGTCTACTTCTTTTTAAATATAGTAGCTATATAGGTAGGTATCACTATTGGGGAAAGATTCTTCACTCCTGGTTTGCAACCTCTTTTACTCCCAAGTTGCAAACCGGGAGACCCAATGTAGGACTAAAGATACGTACCCATCTTTAGTCCCGATTGGTGTTACCAACTGGGACTAAAGATGGCAGCACCATTAGTCCGGTTGGTTAGGTTTTATTTCTTTTCATTGTTGTTTGTTGTTTGCATTTATTCTCACCCTCAAAACCCTGCAAATCATGCACAACAAATCATCCATAATTTCCCATCCACAAAATCATCCACGCTTCACAAGTCATTCACAAAATCATCCCCAAATCTAAAATAATCCACAACAAAGTTTACAAATCATTCAAAAAAAATAAAAAAAACACAACCCGGCCGCCGTCTCTCGGGCATCGCTGCTTGATGCTGGCACCGCCTAGCCGCCGCATCCCGGCGGCCTCCCCTCCTGCCGGATCTGGAGGAGGGGAGGCCGCTCGGCCGTGTGCCACCTCCCATCCCGCTGCCACTGCCGCTACGGCTGCCCAGCCGTTGCCCGCTGTCAACGGAATCGGAGGAGGGGGGAGGAGGAGGAGAGGGGAAGGGGCCGGAGGAAGGGGATGAGAGAGGGGGAGGAGGTGGAGGAGAAAATGAGAGGGGAAAGGAGAGGATGAGATCGATGGGAGGAGGAGAGGAGGAGGGGATCAAATAAGGACTAGCTGGCAGCGCGCACGCAGGGCTCGGGGGGGGGGGACTTTTTGCGATTTTTTTAATTTGGGTCGCAGTTGGTACAAACAACCGGGACTAAAGATGATATGGGTCTAACATGTTTTTGAACTGGAACTAAAAATGATATTTATTCCCAGGACTAAAAATCACAAAAGTACCTGTAGGTTTTCAAACCGGGACTAGTTCCAGTTTTTACTCAAACCGGGATTAGCTAATGTGATTTTTGCGTAACCCAGCATAGATCATTTCTCCAATAGTGTATTAAAATATGAAGCTATGTAAGATGAATTCAATAAAGTCCAGAAATAATTTATATAAATTATAGAAGTAACTAGAGATGTTAACATATTAGAATTAACTTTATGGCGAGAGAGTTAAAACTTGAAACTTCTAATAGTACAAAGTTTGAAAAATATAATGTGTATTGACTGATGAAGTAACCAAACACATCAACAGAGTTCACTCTTGTCATTATTAAAAATAGCTACTTTGCTTTAGGAAGTAACTTTAGTGAAGTGCAAAAGTAATTTACACAAATAATAGAAGTAACTATACGTTGATATGGTATACATATTTGTTCCTTGATTGAGCTCGTTTTTGTCTTAATTGCCAGTTTAATTACCAAGGCATGAAAAGTTATATCTTATGTGTTAGATGAATTTTTACGTAGCAGTCGATCGTTAGAAGATTTTGACCAAAAAAAAAAAGCAAAATATCTTATGCATGCATTATAGGACAAAGGTAGTATATTGCGGGTCACATCCCGACCTTGACAAGCTTTACACAATAATTTGTGGGCAGGAATTTTACACGAGCTTTTTACCAGTTTCGAAGGAAGAGCTCTCATGGGAGAATTATCGTTCGTCAAGGGATCAAAGCGATGTATGTACGTCATGCGTAATGTTCGTCAAGTGAACAAGCGTAGGGTTTTCTTAGAAAGATTTCAACTTGTAATGAACAGAAACCGGGTTCATCACGGCGCTTCAATTTGCAAAACTCTGCATCGATTCTTGTTAACGAGACGGTGGATGCAAAGACCAGGTGCCGCCAGTTGACCATGAATCATAAATTAATGAAGCACATACAGAGATAACGCTGGCAGAGATTTGTGATAATTTTTGCCAGGTTATATTTGAGGTTGTTCGAGCGGATGACGGAATTTTTTGGTTCATTTCAACAATGTCTAATTTCTTTAAGTCAAGAAACTGAAATTTTTACTCACTTTTGTATAAGTCATGCGCAGTAATATATTTCAGCAATGATCTAGCTTTCGTCAGTTACTGCTAGTACTTGGCAAGAAACAAAATGACGAGATAAATTTCATTTGGAGAAGAAAGGAGAAATTAATTAACTCGACCATAAAAAGAAAACCGAAATAATCGATGAACCATTCCTTCGATTATTAGCAAAATTCTTTCTGTTTCGATGTCAACTGCGGCAGGTCAATATCACGTTGTCAGGACTCCGAAAGGATCTCAAGGCCATATATAGCGGCGGCAGACAGCAGTGTAATTGAAAAAAATATATGGTTAAGTCAGAAGGTGATGCGGTCAAAGTCATTGTTATCTGCGTGGATCTCTTCTATCTCATCCCCAAGACACCAACCTCTACCAACGAATGCATTAATAATTAGTCTTCCCTGTGAGATTATAGACGCCGTACAATGAAAGGTGTCTGTATGCCGTATGCGCCTATTCTTAGTACTACTTATATTATGCATGCTTATGGATTATCAATCTATTATATATTAAAAATCCATTCAACATCCAATCAACACTCTTAGGATACAATGTGGCACCTCTATCAAAGTTACTAAGCCGTCACTTGACAATCTAATAAATTAAAGAAAAATCTAAGTTTTTAAAAAATACAAGATATTAACCATCAATTTTACTTAAATTGATGAAACTATTATTTTTAGCCATCAAATCTATCTTAAGAAAACAAAATCCCTCTGTCTCTCCTTTGCTAGCCAAGATCTATTTATTCATCTCCTATAGTTTCTTAATTAGACATACATGTGGCGGCCAATGAACGCTCGAGAGGATGTTTATAGGACAACGTAAAATCTTGAGTATAAATTATAACACTAAAATTTCATACCACCCAGTTAAATCTATTGAATATAATCAAATAATATTTAAACAAAAAGTCATAATATTTAAATTCAAATGGTAACAAAATTTATGATACTTGAAATAAACAATATGCCCGTGTATCTGGGCGGGCTGAAGTTCTACTTAATGTTTCATTTAATCAGGCTGGATTTGCAATTGGGAGATTTTAATTCAGCTGCTTATCTGACTTTGTTTCATGAAAGAAAAAACTTTGACTTTTGGCAACTATAGTTAGATGCCGGGAATGCATGTCAAGATGCATGGCAGTAGTTTACAGTAAAGTGCACTTTCACTAGTTTATTAGCTTTAAGGTACGTAGATTGCATGGGGTAGAATCTTGGCACCTTTTTGTAAGTTCACATTGATGACACGGTAGGTTGATTCTATTATTGTAAAAGGAAGACTGGATCATGCTGGTGCCAGTTAATTTTGACATGTCACCTGGTCAAATATTTTTATGTAGCCAGCTGTAAGATGGATCAATTGAAAATTACATACTAACTCAGAATATTTCATACTCTCGCTATATCCATATGAATCCATTTCCGATTCTCATAAGTCTAAGTGTCCATAAAATTAATATCAGTATCTATACTCCTTAAAAAAAGAGTAGTGCAACCACCTTTACCACCAACTCCCAACTTTCTTTTAGAGAAAAAAAAATGACATGTGAGATTAGATGACCCATATGTCAACTATTCTCATCAACTCTCTACTTTTTATAGGAAGGAAAAAGAACATTGTGGGTTCAAAAGGTTTACGCGTGAGTAACAAATATATATATACAGCAATAAAGAGGAAAATAATAGATTCATAATTTTATATAGAGAGAGTGTTTTTGTAAACTGAAAATATGAGATGAAACAAAACTAATAAATATAGTCAATAATATTAACATTAGCTTGTCACAACAACCATATATTACCTACGAGATCGTATCCACAACAAAATCTAATGGCCTAGTTGGGTTGCAGGAATTTTATAGGAGGGCGTCAAAAATTTCACATGATATTGATGAATTTTATAGTAAGAGGGAAACTCAGGACCGGCTCAGAGCTTAGATGGGTTGTGTGACCGCCTATATCGCTGCTGGCCTCGATGGCTCAAGGGTGCCAAGGAAGGTGAATTGATGAGGAT